TTAGGAGTGCCCTTTGTGGGGGACAGCAACCACGGGAGAGGCTCCAAGTAAAAAAAAAAAAAAAGAAAACAAACAACGTGTACCTGTTTCTGAAGGGATATCTTCCCATAGAAAAAACGGCTCCACCCTTCCAGGTGTGGAAAAGCCACAATTTTCCAAGTGTTAAATAAAAGAAGCCCCAGAAATAGTTTGTATATTCACAGCCTTGTAGTCCTGTTGATGCTCAGGCAAGGTTCCAGCCACACTGAGCTGAAATTTAGGAGGAAATAACACTATTCCAACACTGAGCTGGTTTTGTTTTCCCTTCTCAGATTAGCACACCTACTTAAACTGTAAGCTTTTGCTGTTATTTATGGAGGCAAAATAAAGCCAATGATAGCCTGAACCCAGACACAACACCTAATTTGGCATGGTGGTACAATTCTGTTCCCTATGAAAGCTGCTGTCTGGCAAAGACCCACAAATTCCTCCAAGAGTTGGAGAGTTTAAACCGCTCAATCAGTAATTTCTCTCATCTTTTCCAAGAGCTGCATTAATATCACCTTCTGAAGGCAAGGATGAAGAGATCTGCTCTCCCCCATGGCCCAGGGATAACTGACACCTTAAAGTTACTCAGAGACAAGCCTATAACCCTGTTCAGTATCCAGGGCTGGAACCAAACAGAAGCAACTCCACAAGCCTGTGCTCCAGTCTCTGCAGATGTGTTTAAGAGCCATGTGCCAAAACTCTGCATCGAGTTCAGATGCAGAATTATTCCCCAGTTACACAGCTTCCCGTATCAGGTCCTTATCCTCCTGCGTACTTACACCTTCTTTTGTGGCTAAGAGAGTCTGGAGGACCCACATGCCATCTTGTGAATTCCAGAAGGAAGCCAATGGATGGTAAGAACAGTTGCTTCTCTCATTCATGCCCTTGTAGCGCTGAAGGACAGCGGCTCAAGTGATCTACAACCTGATGCTGCCCCATCATCTTAGGACACCACCGCACCCCCTCCCCCAGTAGGGCATTATACTAGAATCAGATACTCAGACCTCTGTAAGATAAACAAAAGAGAAGCTTTTTATTCAGTGAAAAAGAACAGCTAATTTTAAAAAACATATTTCCTTTCCCCTGCAGTTAACAAGCTATAGTATTGACAAAACTTTCTCTTTTTGGCTACATGATAGAATGTTCCATTAAAATAAGAACCATCAGTTTAGCCAGCAAACAGAAGGTCTGAAATAGCAAGTTTCCATAGCTATCTTCTAGTAGGATAGTACCCAACAGCCAGGGAAGAGGCTCTGTACGAAGCTTCCATGAGATCATCTAGTGACCCTGACCATCAAAGAGCCTTTCCCCTTCTGTCTAGGGAGGTCAGCTGAGAGGAAAGAGGTTGGAGAGTCTACAACAGGCCAGGCTTTTCACTTAGTTATGTGGATTTGAGTATTACTGAAACATTCCGTCAATTGTTGACAACGCAACAAGGCGGGGGGCACTGGGAAGAGAGGAAAGAGCTCAGAAGACAAAGCTAGATTCTCCCTCCCCCACAATACACTGCTGCCGAGTATTCTAGTCTCAACAGAATGCATTTTGCATAAAAATACTCCCATTTTGACTCAGACTTACTGAAGGAAGTCATCAACCCCAGCAGAATAATCTAAACTGCTAAAGGAGAGAAAGAGAACCAGAGACAGTGTACTGAAAACAGCCCTCGATTTCAACACAGAGCAGGGATTCATTTGAGAATGAGAGAATTTGGAGAAGGAGAGTCTCTGTTGACAAAAGCATCTTTTTGGAGGACAGAAGAAGTGAGCAGAGTTTTTCTGGAGCAGTCCTACAGCAAGATCAGCAAGAGTAGAGCAAGCAAGCCAGCAACTCTTACTAGAAGGCACTTCTAGTAAGTTTTTACACTTATGCCAAGCTACCCTGCAAATAAGATTGCTCCAGCATCAGTCAAACTATTTACTTATTTTCTTCCTCTGCTGTGTTATGAATGAGTTGTATAGACTTATCTTTCCCCTTAGGCACATCGTGGTTCAGGACATGAAAGTCCTCACGCTTCCCCGGATGACCGCTCTGCAGATAGGACACAATCTCAAATTGAGGGCACATTCTCCACAAGCTACCAGGTGGCCACAAGGAACAAACACAACAGACACATCTCTGTCCATGCACACTTTGCACATCCTTTCCTCTTGCAGGCGTCGGAGCTGCTCTTCTGTGCTCATCTGAGACTCATCTTTACCAAAAAAGAAAAAAAAGCCCAAACTGTTAGTATTATAACAGCTCCAGAGTGCCAGTCCTGTCATCTTAGGAAGTCACACTGCAACTTGCTCATCATTTTGTTCAGAGACTGAGTGTGAAGATGGCAAAAGTACCTCTCAGGCAAATTTCATTTAAGGTGAAAAACTACAGCTATTACAGACTCTGGCTTATCTACACAAGCTTCAGCATATCTACACATGCTGGACTGAGCAGGGACAGAGATCAGCATCTTTTTACCATACAATGTAAATTATCCCGATACACAAAAATGTTTGGTTTAACCATCTGCTTCACAGTGGAACTCTAATTCCTGAATAAGGCTGTCTGTGTTCAGTTACCATTCAAGCTAGCACACATTCCCCTTCAGGATTAAAAAATGAATGAATACAATGACCACTAATACCATTACTATAAAAAATCATCCCAATTACACCTAGGCTCAATTTCACCACCACTGTCAGCCCAGTGCACCTGATTCCTTTTGTTGCACAGATTGCATTTCTTCTCTTGAACTTGATGTCTCAGCCTCTCTCTGAACAGCATCTGTATAACCAGGAAAGAAGATGGCATTAAATGCTACCCCTTTCCTCCCTCTTCAAACAGCACTGTTTAAAAAGATGAAATATCCTCGCTTTCAGTAGCCTTAGATTAAACAAGTCTTTACTCCACTGTTACCTTCACACACTCAGCCTGGTGAAGCTGATGTTCTCCGGGGTGCTTCAGTCGCTATGTATGTTAACCTCCCTACCAAGACATGTCCACATCACATTGTATCCTCAGCAAAGTTGGTTTATCCATCAGACAACAGGACACTTTTGGTTTTGTGGAAATCTTTTTTTTTTTTTTTTTGGCTCAGCTAAAGAGATGGCAGATAGCGATATGGAGAGAGGAGCTTTGGAAAGCAGGCTTGCTACCAGAGAAAGCCTGTGTGGAACTGCATCTTCAAATAAATGTCACTTGGCAAACAGACTCCACAAAACAGATAACACAAGACAGACATAGATAAGTTAAGGAGAATATATATTATCCAAACAAACAAGAAGTACGGCTATTTCTGATCAAGCCATTGATTCAATTTTGAATAGGCTTGGAGTACTCATCCATTCTAGAAGCCTTGCTTCAGACAACTGCTTCTGTCTGTCTGCATCAGATTTTGTGCTCCTCATCGTGCAGCTGCCCGCTACTGCGGGTCTAAGGGCAGCAGAAAATATCAAGGATATCTACACCATAGGCTATTAGAGGCAGATATAGTTATTGATAGCCCAGTAATCACAGCTCCTCCAGGTTTCTTTAAAGCAGAACCTCATTCTTCAGCCTTTCAAAGAAAGGCAGGCTTGGGTACATCACTACTCTTAATTCCAGCCTAGCAAGAGAGAAGGCAGACCCGCAAGACACTCACAACAGTGCTCAAGATGAAGTGAATAAGATGTTAAATATCCACCAAGAACGTGGGCGTGCAAGTCAGGCATACCTCTGCGTTCCTCCGCACTGCTGCTCTCTTCCCAGTCTGGCTGAAGCAGATCAGAAATCAGCTCAGACTCAGAAAGGTAGAGAGTCCCAGTCAGTATGTATTTATTCTCTACCAGGTTAGCTACACAGGTGGGGTCAAAGCCCATCTGCAGGACATTCTGCACTATGGTAAACTGATCCAGAGAAGGAGGAGCCCAAAATTCCCAGTTCCTCACAGGATCTGTAAAGCAGTGAGCAGATACTTTACCAAAAAGGCAGAACTTTGGGCCAAAAGTATGCCACTCCCTAAAGCTGTCATATATAAAATGGCACTAATATATTCTAGAACTTTCCTCAAACTATATATATTGTTAGATCAACATCCAGATTTACAGTTTTTACTTCCAATCATAATTCACAAGAAAGTGATCAAAAGCAATTTCATAAAAGCCAAGAGACTGATTTTGGATGGTTTATTCTACAGTATCAGTGAACCAAGCCTCCCATGTTTGGCCCCAGTCCAGAATCCTTATCTTTGTTTTCACATCCCAGAACAGAAGTCTTGAAACAGCTTTCGTGAAGATCAAGTGGAACATCCCAACTGAAGTCTCTCCTCATAATCTAGCTCAACCATTCATCAGTAAAGACAGAAATGGGAAATTCAGCTGGCAGCCCCTTGAAAGGCTTAAATCTTTCTTAAGCTCATCTTATCAGATAGGCTTTTCAAGAGATTGCGAAAAATCAGTTTTCCACAGTTACGGGAGCCGAATTTCACCTACTTAAATTTCAAGGAGCAGCTCATGAATGGGAATAGATCCACAGGATCGACACTTTCATGAACACCTGGACCCTCTAGCTGTTCTCTGGTCTCCTATCAAGTATGTTTAAAATGCTGTAGTCTGAAAGACTCTACAGACAGACGACAACATCAAGAGCACGGACAAGTCAAAGGAAAGTCAGGCAAGGACCCAAAAGTCACATGATTATCCAGACTAGCTAAATATTTCTGGCCTTAGACTAAGAGCTCTCACAAGAGGAAGCAATTTTGCTTCTTGTGCTAGAGACCATTTCCTAAAAATAAAGAGAAACATCTTCTAGAATATCAAGACATCTCTCGAACACCATGTCTGCAGAGTGCGCAGTAGCTTAGGTGAGGCAGAACTAAGACTACACCACTCTTAACAAGACAAAACACCATGTAATTATAGCACTGACCTTGGGAAGCAAAGGAATCTTGCTCGGTCTGATCCCAGGAATCTCTCTGAAAATGTCACAAGATAGTCACAAAAGAGAAGCATGTGTTCAAAACTCCCCCCATCTACCAAACCCCCATCCACTCTACACAAAATATTCATGACTCACTGGAGATATCAGGGTGCTAGAAAAGGACTCCTGAACACTGCCAACAAATTCTCTCCCCCTGGACCGCAATAAAAATTCACACCTATAAGCAGAAAGATTTAAATACATTAGTACACGATATCTCAAGTGAAAGGAGCAGTAGTAGTTTGAATTTTAGAAGCAAAGGCTGCTATCAGGTTATGAGCAAACTGCTATATTCATTAAAGACGAGGGAGTATCGTGGTCTTTTTTTTCCCCCCCCTCCTTGTATGAAGGTCAACAGTAAGAGACTCATGATCCTGCCCTTAATTCAGTCTTCATGTTTGGCCCAAGACGAGCTCAGTCGCAATGTCCTTTGGAACAGATCACAGAAAATGTGATAATAGACCAGTTCACAGGAAAACACAAGAACTGCTACAGAAAAACAAGATTTACAATATCTTTCTTTTTGAATCTCAGAGTAGTAGAAACCAAAGCTTTCTTTGATGTCAAACAAAGTGATTTGAATTGAACTTCAAGATGGTGAATTCTAGGTCAAATTAGAAAATCTGAGGTCTGCACTGTGTCATTCCACCTGAGCTTGAAAATTTGATTTTGCTTTTAAAGTAAGAGGGTCTAAATATTTAGGCTTTGTCACTTCTACTTGCACAGTTCTTTTTAAAAAACTAGTTACAGCTTAGACAACCATCATCTAGTAGGTTTCATCATTAACACAGAACACTCCAGCGATAAATCAGCCTTTGGAATAGAAGATGTAGCAATGCCTGAGATGAAGCCTAAAGGGACTGAAGCCGACTGTGCTGGAGGTCAGCGAATTATTGTAAAGGGGTGACATATGTGGAGAGACACCAGACACATCAACTACTTTTTGGGGAGGGTGGAAAGGGAGAAACAGGAGAGGAGAGGCAGCTGAAGATATGATGGTTAGGTTTTCAGGCCAATCTTTGGTTCTTCCCCATGTGAAGGGAAAATAGGACGAAGGCACTTTTGGAAGACTGTACAGACTAAGTGGCTGACCTAGAAACAAATTTTCTATCTTGACCCACTACTAGGATCTGAAGAGGGTCCCTTGCTGGACAACTTCAACTTTGAGGATTCAGAACCCGTCTCTTGAGATTTCAGGGATTTCCAGCAGGTTATAAACTATTGCAACAGTTTATGCAGTTGAACATGATTGAACATACCTGACTAGCTTTTCACCTGCTCTAGCTAGGTAGAAAAATCTTGGACTAAGCTAATAACAGAGCCTGGAAGCAGCGCTTATTACCAGTACACCTGTGACTCATTTGTGTCTCAAGTGGGGGTACCTCTGTCTTACAAAAGAAGAAATTGGTGTGGAATGCACAGCATATCTTTTGGTCTTACTACAAGAGACATTTGCCAACCAAGACTGACTTACCCCGGATACCATTTGGCATGTTCCCTCCAAGGATCATCTCCTAACGACCAGTTCCTCACACCTCCATCACAGTAAAAACACCTCACTACATCATCTTGTCCTGAAAAAGACACCAAGAGATTATTTGACATCTGAGACACTATGCTTTACTAGCCCTGGAAGAGAACCTGGGGACAGATTCAGCACAAAACACAGGCTACCAGACAGAAGAGACGAGCACATGACAATTTACCAACGCTATGCAAGTTGTATAGTTGCGCAGGAAATCCGATGAGAGTTTGAACTCCCAGAGCAGCGGGTGGTTGAGACGATTCCAGAACTGGGTCACAAGCTAAGAGGCAGCATGCATGTGAGCACCATCGCTCCCATGTACGCACATACCCATCCAATCGCCTCTTGCCTGCATTTAGAGTAAAGCTGTAATTAATTATACTTATAAACACACTTTGTTTCCTAAGCACAATCTGCCATAACCAGCAGCAGGCAGTGTCAGACGATGTACATAGCTTCCATCTCACGGGCATAATAATTTGTCACAACGCGGTCCTAGGTCACCCGCCCTGCTACTGGGCTTCTCTTTGCAGAAATCACAAGGGAAAAAAACTTAAAGCCAAACACAGTTAAGAAGAACTGCCGACAAATGCCCTGCCCTAAGGACAACGAAGCAACATCAGTAAAGGCTGCCAGCAAGTTGGGATCACAGACACAATCTTCCAAACACTCTCGTGTTAGAGCAGTTTGGCTTAACTTGAGGGCTCGGTTCCAGCGTGCTCCTGCTCAAGTGACCGCAGGGAAGTGCCATGTCAGGCGGCTGCTGCCTAATGAGTCCCCAAAGTAAGTCTCTGTGCTGGGCTCTCAAACAGCTGCTCTGCAAGTGATAAATCAAGTCCAACACAAAACACAGGGTTTTTTTAGCTGCAGACACTGCTTTATATTTTATTCTCTGTTCCTGGCCATGCTGGTCTTTTGTGTGCCTTAAAAATTAATAAAAAGACAAAAGCAGCAGATAAGCTAATATGCCTATAATGCTCTTCCATTTAGGCATGCATGCTGTTTCACCCCTGCTACTGTGCTCTAAGCAGACAGGTACAGATTCTTAGTATTAACTGGATTTATAGCAAGATCCAGGTTATGCAGTTTGAGTGAAAATCTTGCAGAAGTAGAGAGACATACTAGCAAACTAACCAGTCACTTCCCATAACTCAAGCTAAAGGAACAGAAGGTTCAGTTATTTAGACATACTTTCCTACATGCATGTTATTCACCACGTTGCAGCTCAGATTTTTCCAGCTATCACAACATTTAAGGCTGGTTTTTCCCCAATTCCCATCTTTACCAACAAATAGTACTTAAATAAGTGGAGAAAGGGGCAATTCAATTTTACTTCAACAATGAGAGCGTGAGGCATTTGGGACGCACAGGTTTGTTTCTGCTAAGGGAGCTTTGGTTTATGGATCCTGCCTGTTGCTTCTTTCCATGTCTCTGTTTGATGTGCAAATACAAAACAAATTGATCCCTTTGCATAGAAGAAGTCACACTTGCAACAGACAGAAATATCACTACATTACTAGCTTTCAAAAACCAGAAGGATCTCCCCAATATTTAATTACAGTCAAGCATTAACATACTGTAAATTCTGACTGGTCCATCCAGGGAGGAGTACTTATTCATATCTATTATCTAACCAGCAAAGCCTTCTCAAGGGGAAACAATGATGTTATATTGATACTCACATGCATATGATAATAACAAATATTGCCTATTTTCCTCAAAACAAAAAGTATCTTTTTTTTTTTTTTTTTTTTTTTTTTTTTTTTTTTTTTTTTTTTTTTTTTTTTTATTTCTGTATTACAAGTCCAGGGTCCTTACAGCAACAAGCAACAGACAGCCAAACGGGCTGACTACCTCAGGTTTCACTCAGATTCAGTTTTATGAGAAGAGAAGACTTCAGTGCAAGACAGAGTTTATAGAAAACATGACGTGCCAAGTAAGTGCCTCAAGTCCTTTTAGGAGTGCAAGTAATAAATAGGCTCAATGGATCTTGAAGCACACACTTCTCTGCCAGTAAAACATCTGTTTAAAACATGTCACTTCTTCCACTCTTGCTGGTAAAGGAATTGACTCACTAGTGGACCCCTCAGTACCCAAAGAGGGGTTAACCTAGCAGTGAATTCTGCACAAGCAGCAAGTGCAACAGCACAGGCTGAAGGAAGGATGTGGTTTTAACTACACTACACATACTTGCAAGTATTTGGGAAAGCAATAAAACATAGTGACACCTTCAAAAGCCAACTTGAATAAGACTTAAAAACATTTCCCTGAGTACCTACCTGTGTAAAAGAATCCTGCCCTAGCCAGTTGCTCAGGATGCATGTCAGTATATTGCGGCCAGTTCTGAAATGTAGATAGTCTCATCTCCTCTGTTACCATCTCTGGGTATTCTGGTTCGTTGGGCAGGGCTGTCTCCTCACTGTCTAGCCCCTGCAACAGACTGAGGAACTGCCCATCCACAGTGTCAAAGATTTCCTGAAGAGGAAGCATCTCTTGGTTCCCAACATCCTCACCACAAATGAATTTACAGGAAGGGAAGAACTTCAGGTGCTCTGCCACTGGGCAGTCACCAGGTCCCCAGTCCTTCAGGACACCACCGCAGCAGAAACACTGCACTTCATCTCTTGGACCCACAAAGAAAAAGCCAGCCTTGACCAAATCTCGGGCAGACACAGGTGAGGTGCCTGGCCACTGCCGAAAAGTCCTCAGTCTTCTTGCTTCGCTCCTCATGCTGGATTCAAACAACTGGCAGCAAGCAGCCCTGAGCCCAGTCTCCTCTGCTGGTGTCACGTCCCCCATGGTCGCGTTCTGAAAGAGAGGAGGAGATAACCCAGAGCGGTCAGCTGGATTCCCGGCGTCAGGCAGCACTCACCCTGCGTTATTTGTTCCTCATCCCCACGCATATTCCAGAAAGCTCCTGGTCTTGACAAAGCTGAGCTTGTTTCAGAACTGCAGCCCAATCAGAGATCTGGTGCTGCTGTACTTTGCTGTCAAACTTTTGCTGAGTCCCCACTCGTGTCTGAAGGGAGGGGACCAGCACTTTCGGAGCCCCGCTGCCAATTTACAGCAGAGTTGCTTGCGGGAACAGATAGCAGAGGGGGAGGGCAAAACCTATCCTGCCTCCCTCGCTGGACCAATCCAGCGTTTGGCATCTGATCTGCATGATAAATCCCCAGTTATTTTGCTCAGCCTTTAAATTAACATTAGAGAGACTCTCTTTTTTTTTTTCCCCCCTAAAAACAGATTTAAGAAGGCGTGCCATAACAAAGCAGAGAACAGCCACACCCAAACAACTATTGTCTCGTAATGTTCAGTTTAGAGCCAAACACTACACAGAATATCAGTCGATTTTTCATAACCTTATTATGCTAATTAAACAGTGAATATATAAAAGTTTCTCTATAAAAAAAAAATCTCTATAAAAAAAGATAGGTCCAGTTTCTATAGGGGGGTGCCCTTAAATCAAAGATAAGACATTTTTTGCCTGTGGTAGTTCTGTGCAAGAGGAAAAGTGAAATTAAAGAAGTTATGAGTGCCCGATTATCCAAGCCCTCATCCTACTTCGGGTAACAGCCCTTCCCTGCGCGAGTAAGCTAAACTGCAACCCAGCTACTGCTTCTAATGCTTTCTATATGGCTGGCAAATACACTTTCAAAAGGTCATACAATTACACAACTGAGAATCAGGACCAATTTAACTAATCGCTCCAAAGGAATTCCTTAGAGCGAAGTCACTACACACGTGGCTAAGTGGTAGGTGCAATCAAATCCATTTTTTAAATTAAGTGCCCTGAAAATCCCTCCACCACCTAACTCGGTAGGTCAATTCATCCCAAGGAAGCGCTAACTACTGGTTATCAGAGCTAAGCATTACAAGCACACGGACAAAACATCACACAGGCAAATACTAAGTTAGAAGAAAATATATATACACACACCCCCTAAAAAGATATGGTGTTTCCAAGCTGGTTCACCAGATTATTAAGATAATAGATAACCACTGCAGTGCACTCTTTTGGATAGGCACTGTAAAAATCAGTCAAGGGGAGACCACCAGGATAGCAGCTACTCTGCAGTAAACACAGTCACCGAGATGGTTAAGAGGCACTCAGGCCACCGGCATCTCTGAAGGACTCTTCCTCTTAGTTAAGTGCTGCAGTACATTCAGGGGAAAAAAAAACAAAAACAAAACAACAACTTAAGGGGCATTTTATTTGCAAGACCTGTAGCCAGCATTAACAAACCCATCTTTTACAGGTATTACACATTTAGTGAAATTTTAAAAGCAAAAGCAAGCTTGCTCAACCACATGCCTCTCACAGTGAAAGCCAGCAAGGAAGAGAAAGTTCATCAGCAACCAGAATTTTCTTCTATAATCATAGTCACAGAAACGAGAGTTGTAGGAAAAAGAAGGCTCTAAAAGTTTGTTTTAGAAACTGTGCTTTATTTAATACAATAAAGTAGTTACTCAAGCACTATGTTGCTGGTTTAAAGAAAAATCCATACAGAAAGAAAAAAAAAAAAAAACCACCTATTAGTCACTGATACACAGCAGAATTTGCAAGCTAAGCAAACTTACGAGCATGCAATTTTTTAGCCTACGCAGCAGATTTTGCTCTCAGAACACAGAGAAGCAACAGAGAGACTTGTTCATCAGGCACAGCTCCACAATACCAGTGTTTCTCTCGTCTTTAGCCCTAACAAAAGCTATTCTTAAACTATGAGGAACGCTGTTTTCCACCTAGAAGGTGACCAAGTTATCTTAGCCTACTTCCACTTAAGAAGTGCACATCAGAGCAAGCTTCACAACACAAAGAAAGAAAAGGAGTTTTTCCGCCCAAAAGCTTAACAGCTGAATCAAGCTTTTTTTAAGTAAGAGATGTGTCATAGGAGAACAAATATACTTATGTTTTGTTTATGAAGAAACCTATTGTGGTTTACCTGCATTAAAGACATTTATAGGCTCTGCAGAAGATCCATTAACCTGGCTAACAAGGCTCTGCAAACCAAATTGATATTTTAAATAGCTACAACACCACTAAAAGCCAATATTCTCCCACAATCCACTACTTACACCTACAGATTAATACACTTCCAAAGCAACATTACAGCTAATATCAACAATTCCCTACGATTAGCACAAAACTAAACAAACAAAAAAAAAAAAACAAAAGAGAGAGAGAAATTTACCTGCAAAATTCTTAAAACCAAAACAAAATAAAACAAAACACTCCCAAGAACTAAGACTCTCACAAGCTTCAAGCTACTCTCTTCTCCTCTAGGCAACACAGAGGCCTTTCACAAAACAGAAACCTGCCAAGGCATAAGCGATCCCACCTGACACAGAGGCCATTTCTAATGCTTCGTTTTCCCCGATTGGTTGGGTGTGTGCTGAAATTCTCTAGTGGCTGAATGAACAGTCCAAATTTCATCTTTGTAAGTGGGAATCACCAGGGAAAGATAGAAAGTTAAGCTCAAACTTCCTCCCAAAAACAACCGTTTGGGCCCTTAAAAAAAAAAAAAAAAGAAATAATAGCCAAGCCTTGTGATCTTGTTAAAACCTCGCACAGTACTGCTTCTGACGTCTTGGCTCCTGTGACATACTGATTGCAATCCTCCTGTTTTGCTATAGTACCTTTGCTACTGCAGCCATGATTTTTTCTTTAATTTCTATTGATACAAAACCAGAAAGGAACATAATCATCTTCTAAAAGAAGAGACTGTGCAGATATAAGTTATGACATATGTCAAATACGCCGGGGTATGTCACACAGGGGCGTGAGAGCAGTTCCCCGTGAAGAGGGCGATAGCCCTCTTAGCCCTTGCAGCCATGCTGTGACTCTGTATTAACAGTATTACTGTGTCTCCCTCAGCTTGCTCTCACACGTGTATGCTTTGCGCCTTACAATTTCCAAGAAAATGCACTATAAGATTAACAGACAATAGCAACAAGAATTTACTCAAGACAGCTTGAATGCATCACGTTGCCTTTACTTTGGGAATAAACACTGACTCTTTTGCTACTACTGCATCTTCACGATTTGAAATCTTTCTATTCTTCTGCCTTGCTGTGGTCACAATGCAGAATGAAGGATTTTACGGCTAGTTTTGAAAGGTGCAATTACTTGAAAATGTGTTTTCCTCTACCTCTTTTCTGCCTGGGAAGATGCATGCAGCTTATTCTAAACTGTGTGCTTGACAAAACATAAGTTCTCCACGTGAACATAAGAACACGGGTGCTTTATGTTTGTACAAAATGATAAGTTACGATTTTTCTTTTAAGAAAAAAGATCCAGAGCCCTTTTCCTACAGGCAAGCCTATACAAACATTTTAATTAAAAAGAACAGTGTTGAAACTTTTTTTTTTTTAATTAAATACACGTTAATGAAAACCCCTGAGCAGTAGAGGGCAGTGCCTATATACAGAATTTACAGAATCTTGCAACAAGCGAATGTGGTTCTCTTTTTTTTTGTCCGTAATGAATTTAGATATAATTGCACGTTATCTTCTGCTCCACAGATCCTGTTCTTTATAAGTCCATATTGATTTTTGAAGAATGTATCCTAAAAATATAAGATACAGAGTTAAAATGCTTAAACAATCTGCCAGTGGCACAGGGTAGCCCTGATGCACCATAGCGTGGTGGCAAAGGTGCAGCGAATTGCCCAGCCTGCCCAATTCCCCTTGCTCTAGGGGAGCCCCAGGGTGACTGTTACAGGGGGAAAAGCTGTATGAAAGCGCAGAGGAGCTGAAAGGCAGCTTCTAAGTCAATTTACGCAATTTGCCTGATTCTGGCAGTGATTATTAGGGGGGTTTTTGTTCACATAACATTCTTTCTTCATGCAAGCTTAAAGACAGGTGTAAGGTTGGTTTTCTGTGGGGATACACTTACGCGATTTTGGGGAGAACGTTTCACCAAGAAAGGGAAGCTCAGGACTAGTGAGAGGACTGCAGCAGAAGAAGATGAAGTGACACCAAGTCTGGCGCTGACAGCAATTAAAAATAAGTCACCATGGATAAATGATGGGGTTTTATTTTAGCACACTAAAATTTTGAAAGCAAATAACATATTCAGAAATGTGTTGTATGCAACTAATATTGATCTTTTTTAGCAATTCCCATACATTTTTTGTTCCTTTCCAGAGAATTAAGATGTCCCGCTGAACTTCCAAATGCTTCTTAAAACAAAGCGTGATGAGCTAACGACAAACAAATGCGGGAATCAGTGAGCATCAACCAGGATGAGAAACGTAGTAACTTCTACATTGCTGAGCTCATTCCAAGCATAACTGGAAACCAATAGTAGACAGCGATTTGAAATACTCTAAGAAGAAAGGAAAGTAAACATAATTAATCAAAATATGTTTGCTAATACCAGCCTGATTTGGAAGGAAAGCAGTCAATAAATACAAGGGCCGGAGTATAGCCAGAGGCAGCATGATAAAGAGCTCGAAAGGGCTGAAGTGACTGGAACGCCTGGAAAAACTCCAGCGGAGTTCGGCATCTCTGACCTCCAGGTTCTACACAGCCGTAAGTGGATGAAGCTGTTCTGTGGCTGTCATTATTGAAGAAGCAAAGAGGCTGGGAACACGAAGAGAGATGCCATAGCTTCCCACTGCAACTGATGTGTAAGGGGGCTGGATATCAAGAAAATTTATGGCATAATTCCTGTTCCCACTTGCTCAGAACCGCTGTTAACCGCTCTACGAAGACAAGGATCCATTTTTCAGAACACAACGTTCAGACTTTCTGATATAACTGCTTTCCAGCCTGAAGCAAAGTAGAAAAAAATCATTAAA